GAAAGAGAAGTATGTCTCTATAATGAATGAGTCCATACCATTAAAAACAAGACTATGAGGTATTTTGCTGGACAGCAAGCAGCAAAGTCAAAAAAAGCAAAAAGACTGAATTGTGGTAAGAATAGTTTTGTTGATTACTTATATATTTCCACTTACCATTCACAGTGTCACTAAGAAATCTGGTGTAAATAGAGTGAGACATTTCCAGACACCTTACAGGAGTTATTGCCAGGCGGATAAATATTTTCCCAGACGCCCATCTACTGTAACACAACGTGACAAGCATGCAACAACAAGAAGCTCATAGTGTGAAGCTATGTGTCTTTTGCTGCTATTTCAGAAACACGTAAATGAGCTAATTGGAATCATGTCACATATTTCTCTAAGGAGTGTTATTCTAAAAGCATTTAAGAAATGTGCCAGTCTAATGGCCCTTAGCTCAGTTTGTCTGGAGCAGACAGTGACATCATAATGTTAAATATTTGTTCACATTATCCTGTCAATAGTGATTACTGATAACCAGTGTGTGGAGAGAAAAGGTAACGCATCAAGTCTACTTGTGTTTCCAAAAGTTCAAACTAACTTTATTATAAAATAAAATATTAATTCAGGACACCTTTCAAACATTCAAACAAAACCCTCTCACTAGGTTGAAAAACAACATTGTCAGCCCACAGGTGAGCAGTGACGCTGTGCATCAGTAAGGGTTTGCTTGGATTTCATAAGACAAAATGCTATTACAGTCAATTTCAGGGAGAACATCACCACTGTTTTCTTCATAAATAGGCACCAATTCAGTCTCACAGTATAAATAAAAGTAGAGTAAGTAAAACATTCTTTTCTCAAAGCTTTATATCACTTAAAAATGCACTGAAATGGAACATTCTTACAAAAAAGATAACACCTAGACAATACTGTGGCTACAATACATGTTATAAATACCAAAAAAAAACCTGACATTTTTAATTTTAGAATAGTAGAAAAAGTTAAAGTGTAAATCAGCTGCATGGCAGGGTAGCAACCACACATAAGAAGGAGTTATTAAATATATATTTGTGTGGGAACATTTTTGTCTTCATCCAGGTCAGCTTCTGTCAAAACAAAGAGTGGCGATGAGATTTTATTTTTGTTTCTGATCTCAGCTGTAAGGAGCAAGAAGACTGTGAGTATTTTACTTACACAGTAATCCGGCAGTTTCTTGCCTGAATGTAGCTTCCTGTGTACTTGATGTCACACTGCACCTCATTGTTGGAAAAATCAGACTCCTGGACCAACTGAGAGGGGTTCACTGTCACCTGAGAAACAGAAGAAATACACATGAATTCT